GGGGAGGGAGGGGAAAAATGAGGAGCTATGCCAGGGGCTTAAGTGGAGAGCAGATGTTTTGAGAATGATGAGGGCAATGAATGTACAAATGTGCTTTGCACGATGTATGTATGGATTGTGATAAGAGTTGTATGAGCCCCTAATAAAATGATTTAAAAAAAATAAAGATGTGTAAAAAAAAGTTAAATTGTAGATGCATATCTAACTTTATAATTATAACCTTAAATGTGAGTGAATTGAAGAATTCTATCAAAAACCAGAGGTTGTTACACTGGATGAAAAACAAATAAAATATAAGATAAAAAATTGTGTCCAGGTCCATCTGGTTAAAGCACTAGTGTTTAACCAAAAGGTTGGCAGTTCGAGCCCACCAGCCACTCTTGGTAAAAAGATGTGGCAATTTACTTGAGAGCCTTGGAACCCCTGCCAGGCAGTCTGTCCTGTCCTATAGGGTAGCTGTGAGTCAGAACTGACGTGACAGCAATGGGTTTGGGGTCTTTCATTACCATTTATCTTGAGTCTGGGGTGTAAAATACTTTGTTACAGAAAGAGTAGACTCATCTCTTTCTAGGCTAAGGGATGGGGTTTTGTTATTTAGTTATTTATTTACGTCTCCAGAACCTTGGAATTGGCGCTCCTTAATGATTGTTTAATGAAAACATTCATTTCCCATTACTGCTGGAACGAATTGCCACTGTCCGACTGGCTTGAAACAAGACAGATTTAGAATTTAAAATGTCAGAGTTTGTAATGGGTCTCCGTGGGCTCAAATCAAGGCACCAGTAGGGCTGTTTCTTATGGGTCCCTGAGAGAGAATCCCTTCCCTTGCCTTTGCCGGCTTGCAGAGGCTGCACACATTGGATCAAGGCTGCCTTCCACCTTCCGAGTCAGTAATGCCTGGCCAAGTCTTCCTCATGCAGCTTCACTCTGACATGGATTCTCTGACAGCCCCAGTCATACTTAAGAACATTTGTTAGTGATACTAGAAGGGTAGGGAGAAAGGGAGGGGGGTTGGGCAGGAGGGGAGGAGGGGGGAAACGATTATGATTGACACATAGCCACACACACACCCCAATCCAGGGAGAAGAACAATAGAAACCATGGGGAAGTGTGAGATATGAAAATAATAATAATTTATAATCTACCCAGGGTCACAAGGGTGGGGGGGGGGAAATGAGTGATACCAAGGGCTCAATAGAGCATAATTGTCTAGGAAAGAATGATGGCAACGTAGGTACAGATATGCCTGATACTGTTGCTGTATGGATTGTAATAAGAATTGTAAGAGGCCTCAATAAGATGATCAGAAACAGAGAACATTTGTGATTATGCTTCACTTGCCCAGATAATCCAGGATGACCGCACCATCTTGGTCTGAGTCACTTGTCAACCACCTTTGGCCAGACCCTCTGCTGTGGAAGGTAGCATGGCCGCAAGTTCCAGGGACTGGAACTTGAATGTCTTTGGGGAGACCACATTGAGTCAATCTTGTTGCTAGGGAAACTAGTCTCTGTAATAAGAGACATTCTATATAAATGAAGGTGACTGGCATGGGTAAGCTGGAAAGCCTCCCAATGGGTTGATCAATCTGGAGGCTTCTATGTCTTATCTGTGACCAGAGAGTGCAAGGTCTCTGGCATTTTTGCTTGATACTTACTCTAAGAAGTTCTTCTAGATTCTCCCTCAAGTTCTCAATATACAATTCTGTGAAGTCAGTCTCCTGTGTCATCTCAGAGGGTGAAGTTCATTTCACCTCCCGGTGAGAGACCACTAATTAACTGAGCCCAAAGATGGTGTGCATGTCAAGGCTCAATTTTATGTGGTGCCGTGTTAGGACAGCCAGTGAAAGCCCTTGGCTTTAAATCAGTGATTAAGAGTGTAGCGTCCAAAGAACAGCTCCTTGGATTCACGTTCTAGTTCTGCTCTCTGGCTCTGGGAACACGGGTAAGGTAGTTCATCTTTCTCTGTCGCTGTTTTCCTACCAGGAAAAGGAGAAGGATAGCCTGATACTCTACCCATGCCATACAGTAGTTCTGACCGTCAAGTTCATTCATATAGGCGAAGCACCTAGAATAGTTAGTGCTTTGACACATAGTACATATTGGATGTTGTTGTTGTTATTCCCACTTACTCGGCATGCGACTTTGATCAGTGACTTTAATCTTCTTGGCTGTGCTTGCCTAACTTTTGAAATTAGGCTAATGATACCATCCCCCACCTAGAGCCAAGGGGCCATGATCAAATAATATCTTGGGACCAAAGAGTTGGCCCACCACCTGACATCCTGTTGGCCTCTGTGGATACTGAGGAGATGCCAGAGCTGTCTTGATTCTGCCGCAAGCCATGAAGTAGGAGGGACATCATCTCCTTTCAGCTTCAGTCTAAGGGCTTGTTGTCACTGCCGCTCTTCCCCTCACCCCCTTGTTGGATGGTTTGTGTCGATATTAAGAAAACTGTTCTCACTTGATCTGCTGTGACGGTTTCCCCTTTCCTCAAGTTTGAAAAAAAAGTGGAAGTTCTATTTCATCAATAGGTATTTCCTCTCTATAGGAAGTGTACTCTGAGAAATGACACTATTGAGTGTTTGTGTATGTTCCAATTAATGATGCCAAAATATGCTAGGACAAAGAGCAAGCACAAGGTCATATGAGGGACTAGGAGGTGCTCCTGTTAATTTCCAGTAGGGGTCCGTGAGGCATAGTAACGTGCACCCTGTTGAGTTGTGTAAGGGTTGCTTCTGAATACAGTCCTAGGCAAGTATTGCAGCTCAGGGCTTATCACAATTAGTACTTGCTTTCCTGCTGAGAAACCTGGCTCATTCTTGTCACCAACGTGTGACCCACAGTCATTCACCGCCACAGAGGAACACAGACTTTTTGTCTTGTGGCCACGACTTCTACTTTGCCCAATCAATTGACCATAACCTTCCTGACAGTTTGCTCAAAGAGAGCTGACAATTACTAGGAAGCAAGCTTGATTCTCTTCCCAGCCTGAGGCAGTGCCTTTTGCTCATCCCAGATGCTCGCTGGGCACGTGCTGACTGTTCTGGATTTGAAAAGCGTGGAGCTCTTGAGATATGACAGGAACCCCTCCCTAGAGACAGCTTTGCAGCCAGGAGACAGAGCTGCAACACCTGGGTTGCTAGGTTCCCAGCATGTCATCAGAGTGGTGGAAACTACATTGAGGTGAAGCCTGGTGGTGGTTTTGTCTGCTCCATTTTTGTTTTAGGAGACAGAGACAGACAGACAGACAGACTTTTGAGAATCCCTGCCCTCTAGGGCAGTGGTTCTCAACCTTCCTAATGCCGCTACCCTTTAATACAGTCTCTCATGTTGTGATGACCCCCAACCATAAAATTATTTTCATTACTACATGATAACTATAATTTTGCTACTGTTATGAATCGGGTGATCCCTGTGAAAGGGTCGTTCGACCTGCAAAGGGGTCGAGACAGACCCACAGCTTGAGAACGGCTCCTCTAGGGGCATGTGGCTCCGGGGGATTTGGATGGTTTGCTCTGCCTAACAAGGCACAGGTTGTGTGCCACCTTGCATTTAGTTGTGACCTGCCAGGATCTCCCTATGGATGCCAGGAATTCCCAGTTGGCTAAGGAGCATGGAAGGTAATCATTGCCTGCCCAGCTGGGGCTGTTGACTCTGCCATCCCAGTGACTGGTGGACACTGGGCGTGGTGGGCATGCTTGCCTAAGTACCTGTTTGTAGAACACAGCCAGCCAGGGCAGAGCTAAAAGGGTAGCAACCTGAAACCAGTCGTGTTGGTTTTCCTCTTTCAAACTTGAAGTTAAAAGCTAAAAGCTGCATTCCACATGAGACCTGCAAGGAAGTGGAAGAAAGCAACACACACACACACACACACACACACACACACCATCCCCATCCCCACCCCCACCCCCTCCAGGGCCACAAATGAACTGCTTTGGACCTTCTGGGCATTTTGAGGCGATCTGTTTCTCGCTTTCCTTCTATTTCTTGGCGTTGGGCTTTGAGTGGGATGTTCATCTGGGTGCAGGGTTTAGCTTTTTTTTTTTTTTTGTGGCCTGGAAGGCCCAAACGTAATCCAGATGGAGGAGAGAGAGGGCCCCTAAATGTGATTTCAGCACTTTTCTGCGGAATCACTCTGGAATTGCCAAGGCTGCGGGGTGGGGGCGGGGGTCAGGGCCGGACCAGCGTGCCCGCTCAGCACTTCCAGGAGCCTCAACTTGGACTCGCCAATGAGGAAGTTGAAAGCCAGCGGCGGGGAAAGGCAGGCGCTGGGGCGGAGCTCCTGGTGAAGTTGCCGGCTGGGATTACCAGGGGCAGGCTGACTTTCCCGACGATAAAAAGCCTTTTGTCCACGGGGATAAATAAGGAAGTCCCAGAGGAGCAGCGTCTCGGCCGGCCAGGGCCCGTGTGTAAAAAGGTGCGCCTCCCCGGCCGAAAAGCTCCGCAGACGTGGCCCAGGTGCCCTGGGCATAACCATCTCCGCTGACACCACACCGGAAGCAGGGCACCGCGACCTGGGAGCCTCTGCGCCCCGTGCGCCCCCAGGAACCTGGCAGCGTGCTCCGGGCTCCTGTTGCTCCGTCCTGGACCGTCAGAGCCGATGGAGTGGATACCCTGAGCCCGCCGGGGGAGGGGGACGGTAACCGCAGCCTGGACTTCCATGCAGGGCATTCGTTGCTGGGACATGGAGGACGATGGTCATTCCGTGACCGGCAGCGATGCCTCAGAACCAGAAAAACCTGAAGCGGGACTTGAAGTGGCTCAGTCGATCCTGAGTAAGTTCTCTATGAAATCCCTGTTTGGATTCACCAGTAAACTGGAATCGGGGAAGCCCGAAGAGGAAGATGCCGTTCTGCGAGCCTACCGCAGCTTGGAGGTGGATCCCACACCTGTGCAGGATGACCCCCGCGGCAGTGGCCCCAGGGAGCAGGCGGCAGAGGCTGGGGTTCCACCGGGCCTCGGAAATGCGGAGACGGATGCCCAGGAGGAGACCGAGTCAGAGGGGAGCAAGGGGGCAGCCGAGGCTGCGCCCCCTCTCGCAGGCCTGCAGCTTGCACTTCCCACTTTGGGTGTCAACAAAGACTATGTTATCCTGGTTCGTGGGACCCTCGTCCACACCACCAGCGATTCTGACTCGGATGATGGTGGCGAGCAACCAGAAGAGGGAAGTGGCCCCTGTGACTCAGTATCCCCCTGTGGTGGTGCTGGCGGTGATGGTGTGGCTAAGCCACCTCAGGAGCCCAAAGAAACTCCAGGAGGTTCTGGGGGGGACACTGCCCCCGAGCAACCAGACAATGCAGAGCTTTGTGCGGATGGTCCCCAGAGGCCTCCACCGGAGATCAGTTGCAAGTCGGAACCTAGGGATGGTGGCCTTCAGACAGAGCACAGCTCCAACCAGGACCAGGCTGGAGAGGAAGATTTCCAAGGCCCACCTGCGGTAGCTGGCCAGGGCATTGGCGTCCCGGAGAGTGCCCCTTCCAAAAGGGAATTCCCCGGGGAAAGGACATTCCAGCTCCCAGCTTTCTTCAGCGGTCTCCGTGTGCTGAAGAAGGGGGCTGCGGCCGAGGGCGGGGAGACCATCACGGAAATCAAAGCAAAGGACGGGGATCTGGCCTTGCTCAAGTTGACCCAGCCGGTGCAGAGATCTCTGGCGCAAGCTGGGCCACCAGCGCCAAAGAATGGGGAGAAAACAACCGATCTGAAGGCCACGCCCACTCTCCTGGAGCAGCTCTCTCAGCTGCTCAACATTGAGATGCCCAAAGCAGAACCGAAGGCCGAAGACCCTGCAGCGTCCAGCGGAGAAGCGATGGGCTGCAGCAGCACTGACCAAGAGAGCCAGAGCGGCCCCAGGGAAGCTCAGACCCAGGGTCTCGGAGAGCCCAAGTCAAAGCCCACAGAGACAGCCCTGGAGGCCTTCAAAGCCCTGTTCATCCGTCCCCCCAGAAAGGGGACCACTGCTGACACCTCCGAGCTGGAAGCCCTCAAGCGCAAGATGAGGCACGAGAAGGAGTCGCTGAAAGCTGTGTTTGAAAGGTCCAAGTCCCGGCCGGCGGAGGGCCCCTCTGATTCCAAAAGCGTATGTAGACTGGGGTTGTGCTTGTTCTCCTAGAATGGGATGTTGCTGCACTTCTTCTTGGGGTTTCTTTGAAGGTGAATCCCAGTGACTTATTGTGAGTGACCCTCTTTCGATGCCAAGGGATTATACTGAAGTTAAATCGACCTTGCCTGTAGAATGGCCTTTCTCTCTGCTTCTTCTCGCTTCTCTTTCTTTGTTTTCTCTTTCTCCCACCCCCATGTTTTCCTGGATTCTTATTTAGGGATAAATGCAAAGATGTGCAGGTGGGAAAGGGAAAATGTCACTGTCTATTTAAACATTAATATTAAGTGTCCCTATAAAACCCAAGCAGCAGTGTAATATGGAAGTATAACCCAGATTTATAGGGATTTCCTCACTATTAATTACACCTCTATGAAAACTTTGTTTTCCTTTGAAACGCTGCCATTTGGCAAAGACTGTTGGTGATGCGATTGAAGTGTTGCATGTTGGTTTGGAAGGCATTATGATTGAGCCCCGGATTTAGAGCTTTTAATCCTAACTCTGCCATTTACTGCCTGAGTGACTTTGACCAGCTCGGAGTCTTCATCTTCTCAGCTACAAAATGAGCACTGATAGCAAGTGTATGGTGGCTGTGAGGATTCAATGAAGTTAGCCCCTGGAACTCACTGCCATCAAGTTGATTCTGAGTCCTGGCAGCCCTACTGGACAGAGCAGAACTGCCCCCCACGGCTTCTGAGGCTGTGTGTCATGACTGTGTACCAGCAAGCCTCTTCTTTCTCCCACAGAGTGGCTGATGGGTTCGAATTACTGACCTTGCAGTTAGTGATATAACAAGTAACCCACAAAACCCAGGACTCCAGCACATGATCAGCTCTTAATTAATGGTAGCTGTTATTACTATTATTCAAAAAATACTGTTTCAAGTAGTTTGTAAAGACTAACAAGCACCTGTCCAGTAGATATTAAGATATTCCTCTGAAAGAGGAATGGATCGAATGTTTTGCTTATTATAAACTCGCTGTAAACTTGCCATCCTTTATGGCACTTTAATATACTAAAACGTTAAACATGTAAAGCCTCTGGATACATTATCATGGGTTCTAGTTCAAGACAAACAAACACTAACAAATCTAAGCTAAACACAATGAATACAAAGTATCCTAGTTCTAAGAATCAACTACCATTTGAAACAAAAACTTGCATACAGAGTCTATTTTGTTTTCTATTTTATAGGTAAGAGAAACAAAACCAAACGTGAAAGTACAAGAGTAGATTACCTGGAGAAGATGTATATCTTGGCCTGTAACTAATGTTCACAGAAAAAGCAAAATTGGTCTTTTACTATAATGAACTTTGGAGCTTTTAAGGATACATTTGTAAATATTCCTATAAATATACCCAAGGATGGTATATCTGTGCCTTCATATCAAAGTACATTTTTTTAAAAAGTCATTTTATTGGGGGCTCATATAACTCATCACAATCCACACATACATCAATTGTATAAAGCACATTTGTACATTTGTTGCCCTCATTATTTTTTAAAATTATTTTATTGAGGGCTCGTACAATTCTTATCACAGTCCATACATATATCCATTGAGTCAAGCACATATGTACACCTGTTGCCCTCATCAATCTCAAAACATTTGCCCTCTACTTTAGCCCTCAATATCATTTGCTCATTTCCCCCCTCCCCCCCCCCCCTCCCCCCCTCCTAATCCCTTCATAATTCATAAATTATTATAGTTTTGTCATAAGTTACACTGTCCAACGTCTCCCTCCGCCCTCTTCTCTGCTGTCCATCCCCCAGGGAGGAGGCTATACTTAGATTCTTGTAATTGGTTCCCCCCTTCTACCCGACATTCCCTTCACCCTTCAGGCATCGCCCCTCTCACCACTGGTCCTGAAGGAGTCATCTATCCTGGATTCCCTGTGTTTCAAGTTGCTATCTGTACCAATGTACATCCTCTGGTCTAGCCAGATTTGCAAGGCAGAATTGGGATCATGATATTGGGGGGGGAATTTTATGATTTTTATAGTGAAGTGGTAAAAATAACCTATTAAGTGTTGTGTAATCCTTACCCTTGAGAGTTTTTTTGTTTTGTTTTTTTTAAACCCCTACTGATGACTCTACAGTTCTGGAAAAGGGTCGTCCTGTAATAAAACATTATCTCCATTACATTGAATGTGAGTGATGTGTAACTGGTCATTAACAGGGGTGCTAGAAATAGAGTTAGCATGTTTGCTCTCAGTAACGAAATCGCTTTGGCCACATTTCATCTAACTTATGCTTGTCTGTGTCCATTTACCCCCCAATAGCCAGACCAGAGCCCCACCGAGCAGGATGACAGGACTCCTGGCCGACTCCAAGCTGTCTGGCCACCGCCAAAGACAAAAGACACAGAAGAAAAAGTAGGCTTGAAGTACACTGAAGCAGGTAAAGTAAAAGGAAGCCAGGTACCCAGGAATGAATCTCTTACTGTAATAGTTTTTAGTTCTAGTTCAGTAGACTCTTAGGATTTGGGTTTTGTTTTGTTATAAAATGCAATGCTGATGGCTTTTCTTCTGGGTTTTGTTGTTCAAGTGAGCCTTAGACATTTATCGTTAACGAATCTCTTAAGAGATGAAAGGTGAACACAGTGGAATGAATGAAGGAGTGGTCCATGTGTAATTTAGGAGAACCTTTTGGAAACTAATGGGCAGGGTGGATTACAAATTCCTTGGGAAGCAGATGGCTGGCCCTCATATATGGTTGGTGTGAGCTGGCAGTGTTGATAAAGGAGGCAGAGTATGGGTTTCCAGACGTGTAATCTGATTTTTTTGTTTGTCTTTGAGTAATGCAACTTTGTGCAGAGTGAATGTACAGATGCCCTATCAATTTTTCTCTCGTTCCTGCTAGACAAAGCAGTAGTTAATGCATGGCCAATTTTAAAGCAATCTAACTCTCTGGAATGCTTCCCAGAAACTTTACTTGAATCTGCTTAAATGGAATAGAACTTCAGATGTTTCAGTAAAAGGTGCTCATGAAGTTGAAAAGCACTGAAGAATGAGAGGATAGATAGATCTTAACTCCATGTGCACATGTGTGTAATTGTATATCACTGATAAGACTTTCTTGTCTCTGTCCCCCCACCCACTGGAGATGATTAATAAATGGCTGATATTTTGTTGACTGTCTTAGGTCTGTGTACACCTTACGATAAGTCTACTTGGTTGTGAGGAGCAATCCTTTTCAGTTTCTTGTCTTTGATGATAAACATAGTGGCTCAGAGTTCAGGTGGCTCAGAAATGTATGTTTTTTCTGCATTGTTATAAAATCCCTTTAATGATTGAAAAACTGGTAGTTGAATCTCAAGGTCTACCATCCATTTACACACTTGCTAATTGAGGACTTCACAGAGACTTTAACTACTACTTGGTACTCCATTTTCTACTGCAGTGAAGGCTTTCTGGAAGGAAGAACCCATCCCTTTCATGGAAATATAACTTACTGTTCCATCTTCTCACCCCCGAGGGACACGACTGTGATTGTAACATGGAACCACATGCTACGCAATTGTTTCCTCGATCCAGCTTTGCACCCATGATTAAAAGCATGGATGTCGTCTTTTATTTAAAAACCAGAATCCAAATGAGTTCTTATTCTAGTCTATCGTCGTGCTCTTAGTCTTGTTCCTCTTAGTGGATCATAGCCATTATTTTTGAAATGATGGGCATGTGTTGAGTTGGAGAGGAAGTAGATGTGATAAATGGTTTTTTTGGTAAGCCTTGCATAATAATGGGACCTTTATGGTTAACAAACTCAGTTGCTACCCTCAAGGTTGGGGATTCTACTTCATCTAGATCCACCTTAGAATAAAGGCCCTGGAATCTACCTTAGTCAAATTAGCCACTGAAAACACTGTGAACACGTTTCCCCTCTGACACATATGGGGCCACCCTAAATTGGAATCAACTCGATGACAACTGCTTTTCCCATGCAGCTTCATACATTCCTTCCTCTTTGCTTCTGTCTTCTCGTTTCTAGACCCTCAGAGGAGCCTCATCACTTTATCTCGACTTTCATAGTTGGTACAATTGAACAGACAGCATTGGTTTTTCTGGGGCAAGGAAATGTGCTCCCAGAGCTTGGGCAGTAAAGTCATTTTATTGAGTGGGGTCTAGCAGCACGTTTACACAATGGAGAAGGAAATTGGCTCCCCAGCTAGTTCCTGTGGCTGACAGTCCTGTGGTACCATGCACACCATATGGCTTTGTTTCTGTGACTTTTTTGTAACCCCCTAGAAGTCCTTAAGAATGTTCCTAGGAATCGAGTAATTCAAGTACACTGGCTTTGCTATGCATGATTTTCCTCCCAAGACCAGGACTTGCCTGAGTGACAGACACATATGGACTGACTGACTGACTCTAGAGGGCACCTTCCACTGTTTTAGTCTGGCTAATGATTCTGAAGGACCCCTAGTGGTGCAAATGGTTAAGCACCTGGCTTTAAAATAGTCTCTTCCCCACCCCCCCACCCCCCACCCCAAAAAGCAAATGGAATCCATCCAGAGGCTCCGTGGGAAATTCACAAAGATACCTGCGAAGGAAACCCGTGGGGGCGGTTCTATCCTGTCCCATGGGGTTGTCGTAAGTTGACAATGACTCAATGGCACCTAACAGCAATGATTCTTAGTATTTTGAGGCTCCTTTAAAAATCTGATTATGATAAGAATCTATGGGGGAGAAAAAACCAGTGCAGATCATTTTGCATATGTATCAGACCTTCCTCCCCTACCCTGCGACCATCTGTGCCCAAGGTGGCCCTTCCCAGGTTCAGATGAAGAACTTCTGTTCTAAATACTGAAGCCAGGCAGTTGGACTTCCTTTGTCTGTTTGTCTCCTCATTTGCATTATGAGAGATTACCTGAAAAGTCTCATTATTTGTTAAGAAATTTAATACATATATACTTTTTGTCACGCACACCTCAGAATACTGAGGGGAAATGAGGTTAGCACTGGTAGGAAATGCATTAACTTAATTGCCCCATGGAATGAGAGAGGGAATGATACAAGGAAGAAGAGCTCTCCCATGCCCTCTCACAAAATACCCTGTGCATATTTGTTGCCTCCCTGAGAGTACCTTGGGAGAAGCTCTATTCTATATCATCTGCACCTCAGACCTGGCTAGGGTCTGTGAGATGGTGGTATATAGATTGCCCTCCTCTCTGAGGATCGCCGCTCCCGTAGAAAAGAGGACCTAGCTTGGGTGGTGTGGTTATGGTGAGTAGGCAATCTCCTGGGGCTGGCTTACACAACCTTGGAAATATTCACTGTCCCTCCTCTCAGAAAGATCCAGCATCCAGTGGAGGTCCACCTACACTCTGGTTTTGTTTCTCATTAGGGTTCCTTTGCTTGCAAAGTGCTGGATCTGTTCCCCACATTTCCTGGTGAGTCAGATATCTTGCTTCACCGCCCAGGGAGAGCTATAAATATCTCAGAATATTTTATGACCCAACTGTACTTTGAGTTTTAATTCTACCATTCAGACCTACCAGGCTGAATTGACTATGAATGAATTTTCCTTTAGAAACAGGCACTACCTGGTTAAATTATCCTGAGTGCCCTCTTTGACAGCATATGCAATGGTGTGCTCACTGTGTGCTGGTTAGATCTTTGTAGTGTACTACCAAATGGTCAAGGGTTTCATTTTACTCAGATCCTTAATCAACACTCATGGGTACAGCAGCCAGGAAGTCAAGTGATGTATTAAATTGGGCAAATCTACAGCAAAAGACGTCTTTAAAGTGGTAAAGAGCCAAAATGTCACTTTGGATTCCCCGGACCCCAGGCTCAGTGTATGTTCAATGACCTCATAATATAATGAACACCAGACAGTGAATAGGAATAAGAGACCCAGAACAGTTGTATTTGAATTATGGTTTTGGTAAAGAATATTGGAAGTGTCATGGGCTGCCAGAGGACCAAACACATTCATCTTGGAAGAAGTACAGCCAGAATGCTCGGTCGAATTGAGGGGGACAGGACTCGCATACTTTGGACGTGTTTCAAGTCCTTAGAACAGTGGTTCTCAACCTTCCTCATGCCACAACCCTTTAATACAGTTCCTCATGTTGTGGTGACCCCCCAGCCATAAAATTATGTTTGCTGCTACTTCCTAACTGTAATTTTGCTACTATTATGAATCGGGCAACCCCTGTGAAAGGGTCGTTCGACCCCCCCAAAGGGGTATTCTTGATTAAGTAGAGGGCATTGATGGATTGATACAGTATCTGCAACAATGGGCCCAAACATAGCAATTGTGAAGATGGGACAGGACCAGGCAGTGTTTCATTCTGGTTATTTTGTTTTTTGTGTGGAGTTGCTGTGAGTCAGTTGATTGGATGGCACCTAACAACATAGCCTTGTCATTTGAATGGGCTTAATGGTAATAGACTAGAATTAGGAAACTATATAGATTAAAGACCAAGGGAGCCTTTACTCATAGTTTTCTGGGTGTACAAAGAGAATTATATTGAGAAACTGGAGAACAAGTGATTGTGCTGCATCTGGCTTACTGTCTAGATAGGAGCTTTAGAGAGAGGCAGGTTGAGAGGGAGGCATGTTGGCTCCTACAGTGCATATAGGTAGCTAAAGCTTGGCGTAAGGCGGGGAAGTGCTAATGTGCGGATCAAGCATCACATCGTGTGTTCAGGGAAATGTTGGTAGAGTAGAACCAAGAGATGAAAACAGAGTCTAGGTTTGTAGAATATTAAAAGAAATTCGATCTGCTCACATGTTGGAAGTCACCAGGTTAACCCTTGTCATCTCCCAGATGATAGCCAGCAATGTTATGGCTCATTGAAACAGACGTGATTGATAAATAAATGGAAAGGACAATTTGGAGAGGACTCCAGTTACAAGTGGGGGCAGTGGGGAGGACGGGGGAGAGTGATAGCTCTTTCTTCCCCGTGGACTGTTATCGAGAGAAGCACAAGGAGCTGGGGTTAGGCGAGAAGTATTTAAGAATTACAGTGGTGAGAAAGGAAAAAACAAAACAAAAAGAATTATACAGGTTATAAAAAATTACGGGGTCTGATTGAGTCTAATCTGAATAATAAAGGAGGGCAGAGGAGGCCTGCTGGACACATTGCAGAAATCGACCCAAATCCAAATCAATGAGGAGTTTTAATGGTATCTTTGATACTATGGTGCTCATCTAAGCAACTTCCAGCAAGTCAGACTTCTGGCCTGAGAATCTGCATGTAGTTCAGTGTTGCTCTGATAATGCTTAATCGCTCAACATGTGTTGAGCCACAGCTTCTCTGCTAAACTGCATGACCACTGGCCCAATATTACGTCGACAGGAACAAACATTTTATTGTAATACTTCCATATTTCAGTGACGAGTTTTGGCAGTGCAGTGGTTAACCACCCAGTGACTAGCTGACAAGTCAG